AAAAATTTGATTCTGTTGTGTTTTATTATCACTGAGCTCAAGCAAAAGCCTTCTGTCATAGTGTCAGTGCCATTTTGCTCTTAGAGATTGTAGCTTTCATCTTGATGTTTTCTTGTGATGACACTACTCTTGTTCATCCTTGTTTTGATGTTCTTTTGATGTAGAGTGTTTTCTGAAGGAATGGATTTGCTCCTTGTTTATAATTCAAATTGCTGAAGCTTATTTTCACTGTATTTTTAATTATACAGCGTTTAATTCCAGACTTCATTTTCTTTGAGAAGAATCCTCAGAAGGGTTTTAAATACCAGGGTACCAGTTTTTGTTCAGGAAGTCTCTGAGTCACGAAGGGCTGCAGGAGACTGTGCTGAGGAGGTAACACTGTGTGCCTACCCTGATATCACACTGTTTCCTAAGTTTGTGTAATTGTTAGTGATGCAGACATGATGGATATGTGGCCTCACCTGGTATATTCCTTTATATCCCAATACTCACAAAATGAGTATGTCTTCATTCCTCTTTCCTCTTTTGGATCTCATTTTATGCATTTCTTACTATAGAACTGGAAGTCATTTACAAAAGGGTAAACATTTAGGGTAATATCCTAGCAGGAGTCCCAGAGTGTGTCTGTATCTGTACACCAGGCAGGGCCAGGAGCAGTGTCACTGGTGACCTGTGGAGTTTGGGTGTTGGTACACTCCAGGGACTGGTTCTGCCCGTGCCAGCCAGTGCTCTCTGCAGCTGGGCCTGGAGATGGGTCAGGGCAGCAGTGTGAGCCAGGGATTCTTCCAAGCAGGCAGATACGGATGAGAACTCCTCTTTGGGGAGCAAGCAGGACAGAGTTTAGCCATATGGACATGGGCTGTGCCATAAAACTTGTGCTCAGGGGCAGGGAATTGGCCCTGAACTGCTGTATTTTCTATTCCAAGGCAGGCCTGTTGATTTCTGTGCTGCAGTGCCAGGCCCTGAGACAGAATGCATTTACAGCTCTCTGTATACAGGACGTAATTTTAATGCTTGGCTCCTGCTGCAAAAAATGTCACAGTGAACTTCAAGAGGATTGTTTATGTCCCCAGAACCTTAAGCTGGAATAATGACTCTAATTTATTTATGCACATTTTGACAGCTTGTTATGTTTTATTCTGTAAAGCTAAATGTGGTCTCAACACCTTGGAGTTATTGCTACCAAGTAATGATGCCAGGGAGAGATAGGGATTTTTGTCTCTGAGCAGGGAAGATCTTTTTCATTCTGTAAGGACTTAACACTACTGTCCTTGTGTCTGTCTGTGTGTTTGAGAATGTACAGTGAAACTGAGGGGTGATGTGCCCTAACTGCATGACTGAGTGGGAACAGATCGACTCTACAGCAACACTGAATGCTTGAATAACCCAGAAACCAGTGACCTTCATGTGGGAGCTCTCACACTCAGCCAAGAGATGGGGAGCTCTGTCCTCGAGTAGAGACCTGTAAATGCTTGCTTGCTCTGTAATGTGACTCTGTTTTAAATCTGATGAATGATACAGTTTGGGTACCCCCTTAAGACAAATTCTGTCTCTCTTTCTGTGAAGGTCTGAAACACCTACCCCTTCTGGTCTGAAAGGGTTGCATCATTTCTGGGTGTGTTTTATGTACCCATAATATTTCCAGTGTCTAATATAAGGCTTTAAGTTTGATGATATATTGACAGCTAATCAAGGTGTTCATAGAAGCATTGAATAGTTTTGTAAATGAGTAGAATATTAGTCTGTAGAAGGCTGTTTTGACGAGGAGTTTAAATGAAAACAAAAGAAAAAAATATTAAAACCAGGACACTGGTCACTGGATTCTGTATGATTTTGATTATCTTTTCCTGTTTTCTACAGCAATATCTATACTATGAAAGAAAACTGTGAGGAAGAATCCTCAAGCACCACATTGTCTACATTTAAGTGTTAGAAGAGTTTGTGGCAGGCTTTAGATTGACTAAGTCCAGGCCTGGACTGACTAGATTTCTAAAATAATTTATAGGCACCAATCAGGGATGAGCTCCAACCCAGAAGCCATTAAGAACAGGTACCTGACCATCTTGTCTTGGAGGTGAAGAAGGTTAAATAATATGAGTAGGAACTGCTTCCAGGCAGTAGCTGTAATCTCAAAGAACTGTCCCAGGCCTGTTCAGTTGTCTATGCAGATAGAGCTAATGCAAGTTTACTTCTATGGCATATATATTGGGAAGCTCTGTTGAAATGGGGAAGGGGAGAAAGAGTGTTTAACCTAATCCAAGATATTTGGGGATGACAAAAATCACATTAACACAGACTCTTAATTACTTCCTGAATGTCTTCTAGTGGCTCTTAACAGTAGTAGCACAAGAAAAATAACATTCATGGTGGGCTAGTGTGGGTCCCTGGAGTCTCAGTAGGGACTGCTGAGAGACAAAGCTGTAAATATGTCATGATGGACTGAAAAGGAAAAGGTACCACTCTAGGGAGGAACTCTAAGCATAAGTATTGGCTCATGTTCACTAACCCAGGTGACAGGGCACCTGATCATTGCCTTTGGGCTTTCGGCTATGTTTTAATTATGTTTTTATACTTTTTCTTAATGGACTGCTCTAATAGCATAATTTCCAGGCCCAAGTTCATTTATAGTCCATGTGGAGAACATGAATAGTTACTGCTTCAGAAACAATAGGAGGATGTTACTGCTGCTGATGCAGAGGCACTGATGAGAATGACCGTATTACCATTCAGTTACTACCTCCTTAACCAAAGCTTTAACTAGGCTTATAATCCAAGAGAAAGAACTGTGGTCATATTGGTATTCATATGCAAAGACATTCACCATCAAATTCTAGTGGTAGAAGTTTGGTTTTCTCACTCCTGCTCTGAGGGAATGATCACTGTCAGTCTGACAACTGACTGTCCCTGCAGTCCAAGGAAGGAGATCTGCTTGAATGTGGAGAGTGAGCTGAATTCCCACCTTTTTTGGGTTGGCATTATGTATCAGGATTTGAATCTCTCATTGTGTATGTTTCTCAGGGATGGTGAGTTCATCAGCACTTGCGTGTAGTTCTGTGATCACTGTGACAGTTCCCTGGTCTCTAAAGTAATTTTCTAAAAGAATAGTATGAAAATCACAAGTGTTAATCAGTGATTTTTAAGTAGTCAGATGCAGCTGAAAAGGTAGATATACAAGAACTTGGGCCAAATCTTGGCTATATCCTTATGTCTGAACTTTGTAGTGTATGGCATACTCCACTATCCTTTTTGTGAGAAGGCAGAAATGGGTTCCATTTCCTGAAATACTTACCATTCCTCTTAGCAGAAGCAGAACCTGGAGATCATTGAGGAAATGAGCCATTGGGAGTCTCATCTACAGTCAGTGAAGTCTGCTTATCCACAGGCTTTTTTCACTATGGTGTTTTAGCCTTGGCTCCTAGACCTGGCCTAAAGTACCTGGGTTTTTTTTAGAAATGGCTGATCTTGACACATAGTGAAGAATGCACAGCCTATGTCTTGCCCTGGACTCTGTTTCGTCTTGAAAAATACATATAGCCAATCTCTGTCCTGTCCTCTATACAGACAGAAGACACTGGCAACAAGGAGTAGTTGATGGAGTTCCTGACAGGAGATGCTTCTTTTAATTTGGTTGCTGTAGGAGTTTTTGATATACAAGCATGGTTTTTTTTTCCTTGTCTGTGAATTTGTGTGAAAATGAGTTGTGGAGCTGAGGCCTGGACAGCATTAGGAAGTTGGTGTGCTTTAAATTAATTCTCTGTACAGTCAAATGGGGCCTTTGGATTTTTGGAAAGTCGAACCACCAAATGCTTTCCTGTTTTACATACTATGGAAGGGAGCTCATCTTAATTCCTGCTCCAGAGAAATAGGCCCTGCAGGACAAGAGAGTGGTTAGATTTCTGTCACATAAGCAGATACATTGTGACAAACTTGAAAGCTCATATTTTCTAACTTTTCCATTAATTTTATAGCTAGACAGATAAAAATAGGCTGCTTTCTAGATACTCCAAAATTCTAGATAGTCTCCAAATTGTGTTCATGGGTATTCTGAGCTACAGCCCACAATAACTTTTAGCATTTTGCAATGTATGGACAAATGGAAGTAGGAGATTGTGACTTTTTATGACTTTTACAAGGAGTTGGCACAAGGTTATATAGTTTAATTTGGGCTATATTTTGCTAGCTTTTGCACATATGGAATAGCATCTTTCTCTGCAATAATCATACCTATATAATTCTGTCAGAATCTGTCCTACCAGCTGGAGTGAGCTATTCCACACTGTATCTGATATTGTTTCCTTTTTATGTGTTGAGGCAGAGTGCTTTGCTGTATGTCCTGATATCCCATGGCTCCCCTTTTGGAGCTCTGTTCACACATCTTGATTCCATCTGTACTCTTGAAGAGGACGGCTAGGTGGAACATGTATCTGTCAAACACATGTCCATTCTGGACAGCAGCCCTTCACGGGTCACGCCTTGAAACATCGCTAATTTGATTTCAAAGGGAGCTATTACAAAATGCCTTTTGTGTTGTTAGGCCTCAGGAGAAGGACCTCAGTTGGACACAGTGAAACACTGCAACTGCTTTAGCTGTGGTGTTCCTTGTTGGAACAGATACGAGAATCAGTGACGTCTTTGTCTTGAAGCGCTGTACCTCTTCAGGAGAAGTCCCCTGATGTGAGAGGGGATGGTTGAATGTATGTTAAAAGGTCCAGGGGACAGAATCTTAGTGATCCACGGCATTCATCAGATGCTGTTGAACAACCTCAGGAAATGAGTGGAAATCTGACTCCTGTTTGACTATGCTGAGTCCTGAGAATGGCGCAGTGGGTGCAGAGGGTTGACGTACACATCTGTGCGCTCCCTGGCAGTGCTTTGAAGATCTGTGTTGCAGCCTGTGGCTTTTTATGATGCAGTCATGTGCATTTTTAAGACTTAGAATTAGACACCTTTGTGCTTGAAGTTAAGCATGACTGTGACTCATTCAGCTGTCACTCTTACAGACTTGGTGTGAGAACCATATGGAAGGGAAGAAGTATCCTAGACCCAAGATGCAAGTTTATGGATTGCAAGACAGGAGGCCCAATACTGAAACAGCATCTCACAAAAGTGAGTACTTGGGCAAAATTTCCACTTCTGTTTGGTCAAATATCCAACATAAATTAAACTATTTTCTTGAAGTAGTGACTTTTCCCATTGGTAAACTGTGAATCTTCTTCCACAGCTAATTCACTATTTCCTGTTAGTTACAGTCACTCATAGGCTGCACAATCTCTGAGCACATTAGAGCCATACTAGTAGTCTGTCTGGCATTTGTAATCAGGCAACACTTGGGACTTCATAATACTCTAACTCGGTGCACTAGTGTGCCAAAATAAAGGTCATTTCAATTTCATGTTATGTCACTCAGTTTTGAAGTGACATGTGTTTAATGATTTTTCTCCAGTAAATGAATGATAGCAGGTATTAAACTAATATGCTTTGATGATATGCCCACAAAAAAAGGGCAAAATCTTTTAAAAAGCATTAAACAAATATTTTACCAGAAAAAAAACCCCACAACCCATAACAAAGATTAAACTCCTACCTAAAGCTTCTGCAATGAAGAAAATCAGACCTCTTGGCATTTTCCAGAGGACAGTTTGCAGAAGTTTCACTGTAATTTATGTGTGTCCATCATTGCAGAGAGTGATCTTTTGATAGAGACAGAAGAGCAGGAAGGTTGCAATTGGAGCTTGTCACTGTATCACAAAGCTTATAGCTGGACCACTAAAGGAGTGGAAAAACTGGTCCTTATGTGTATGAAGCCTATAATTGTGCACAGACATGTTTAAAATCTTCTCGTTTAGCAAAGCCTTCTTGTCTTCCAACTCGTCAGTAGTATTCCAGGTAGTTTCTCACTGTCATCTTTCTAGCAGGCTATGGGCTCAAACAGGCACAAACTGGAGCACAGGAGGTCTTATCACAACATCAGCAAACACTTTTTCATGGTGAATATGGTCACTTACAGATTTCCCAGGAAGACTTTGAAGTCTCTGTCCTTGTAGGTATTCAGAAGCCATCTTGACATGGTCCTGGGCAACTCGATTCAGGTAGCTCTTCTTGAGCAAGGTGTTTGGGTCAGATGACCCCCAGAGGTCCCTTCCAATGCCAGCCATTCTTGACTGATTCTGTGGCTGCCTGATCAGGGCTGATGACATCTTGTTATTCAAAGGCCTCAAGGCATTGACCAAAATCTATTATCCAGTCTTGGTTTTGGGAATGTTGCTTTTGGTGTTAGCAGTTCGTTGTGTGCCACTTTTAAGAAACTAACAGCAGAGAATAGGTGAGAGAACTGTTTTGATTCTTGGTGGTGTAGCTTTGTAGCGTGCTGGAGGAAAGGTTGTATTGAGGCTTTTTCTCCCAGGAGGAAGTGTGAAGATTCCAGGAAGTAGGATGAACACTAGTAAATGGCTTTTAGTAGGGACACTGGGAATGTACATTTCACAACAGTTTGTAGCAAAGATATTATCAGCTGGTGCTTGCAAAAGTCGATTCTTAATATTCTATGTTGTGTTTAGTAGTCAGAGGATGAATTGCCTCTTTGAGCTGATCAGACACCAAGTCATGTCTTCTTTTTGGTCACTGCTCCCATTGAAAAAATAAAACTGATGATAAACTGTAGACCAAGAAGTCAATACTGATTGCAAAATAAATTACCTGTCCCTTGAACCTCCTGTCTGGCCTCAGTGAGCAATAGGAATAGGAAGACATCAGGGAGAATTTGATATTAGACTGCAATCCTAGAATGAGACAGCTAAATGAATTCTAATTCATTTCCTTTGGTGACACATTTGGCACTTTAGGTACTCAAACTGCAAAAAGTCTCCAATTTTGCATACAGTTGATAAACCTTCCTAAGTTGTTCAACTGATCAATTGCTTTTTTTAGTCAGTGGTTATATGACATTATTTAATAGAGGACAGTTAAGTCCATGTAAATAATAATTTAAAAACCAGAATGAGATTATGTACTTGCTGTCTTAAGTCCACTTGGTCAATTATGAAATTTAATTATACAACCATTCCTTACCATTCTCAGTTGTTCTTACAACCTGTCCTAAAATGTTTTACTATCAATAATCATGACAAATATAATATGATATTCCTATTTTCCCTCTGCATGGGCATGAACGCTTGTATGAACTTCGATGATGATGATAATATTTGGCTTAGAAATTATTTTAACAAATTTTGAATTGTTTCTAGTCATATCAAATTCAATGCCAGAAGATAAACAAAATGGTTTCAGGAATACTTTTGATGCTGTGCTTAATGCATTCATAGTAATAAGAAACCAAAGTTGTTATCTTTTGAATGCATGTGCCATGGAACTGAGAAATATCTTAAGACAGCAAAATGCTATGTCTTTGTTACTTTTTGACTGATACAGTCCCAACAAAGTTGGTCTTTGAGCAGAGATAGCAGGATCACACTGCATTTCTCTTCCTTTGTCATGATTTCTGTATAGGTGCACACACATCATATCACTGGTTTTAATTGTCTCTGTTGTCTGCCAGGGCACGTTAAGCTTCAGATCCTGTTTTCCATTCCAGGTGCCATCATGGTGCCTCTGCTGGGTGCTGTGGCTGCTCAGCCCCTGGCAGCGGGGCTGGGGCTCGAGGAGTAGTGTAAGGGCTGGTGCCAGGGATGTCAGAGGCAGTGACCAGCCTGACACTGTGGGCTTGGGGGAATGCCTCCCAGGACTGCAGCTGTGCTGCAGGACTGAACACAGGTTGGGTTGCAGACCTACACTAATGCTCAAGGGCTGGCTGTGCTGTCAGAGCATCATGCCTCCTGCTTCACAAGAGAATTGTATGCAGTCTTTCGGCCTCTCAAGTCTCATGTTTTATCCTAAGACCCATCTCCTTTTGAAAAAATATTTAAAAGGTTCTAATATGTACGTGGGTAGGACTTTGTTCCTAGTAGGAGAAAAAATTTTCTGACCTTGCGTGCAAATTTTTGGAAAGAGGGAGCACACTGTTACATAAACTTGGAGAATGAGAAATGTGAATAAGTTCTATAAATGAGGCATTTGCTTGAATGAGTGATCACAGTCAAACAGTGCATCTTAATTGTTTTATTTTCTTTCGAGTAGTCTTGCAGTCCTACAAGAAATAATAACACCATGAAAATAGTCTACAAACTTTATTGTTGAAGCTTAAGACTTTAATGAGAATATGTACAGAGAGTTACTGTCATAAAACCAAAGCTATTTCTTCCACAATAACCATAACTTTGCCAAAACTGTAGAGATCCTCTATCTATACTAATGGCTTAAAAGACTAATGGTGGGAAATGCTCTTAATTGCTTGCCTGTACAAATATGAATCACTGACCAAAACAAAGTGTAAATTCTCTGTTTTTACCTTTAACTTTTTCTGTTACGTAGAACTACTACTGAGTTGGTGCTTTATTTTAAAAATTAGTTTTTTTGGAGAGGACTCCCCAGACTTTCTAGCTTGTATTAAATCTCTGTTTCCTTCTGTCTGCATCCTTTCCTCCTTAGTGTTTTTTTTTTTTTAAATTCCAAGATGCTATATGCTGCTCCTGGCAGAAATGTGTATCTCCCAGTGTAACTTCCCATATTGGTAGGTTTTGGAAAGAGGCAGTGTACAGTCCTTCTGACTTGATCTACATGGGAGCAATTGTGGCATTGGAATACATATCTAAGAAAATAATTCAGGTGGTATTGGAGTGTTGGAGGTGTTATTGTTGTACAGAGTTGGTTTAGTGCATTATAAGAGGAAGAGGCTCTTTTTAGTGTTCAAGGAGGGATGACAGATTGGAAGTTATGTTTGGGATGGGCTCTTTTTGCTACTGAAAATAACTGTGGAGTCTCCAGGGAGTCTATTCAACTCTGCCATATCTATGTTAAAAGGAAAACACGTCAATTGTACTGAAGAACTTGGATAAGTTTCACAAAACCACTTCAGTGTCACTTAGTTTTTTATCAGTTTTAAAGAGTGATGTATCTTTTTCAGGCAGGATACAGATATGAAAAGTAAATAAACCATTCCTGTATCCAGAATGAAGGAAAAAAAATGGATTAGGAAGGGCATGGAAAAATATACTGTAAATAAAAGTTTTACTGCATGTAATATCTGCAGTGCTGGCTTTGGCAACCAGCTTTCCACTGTCCTGCTCTGTGGGCTGCAAAGTGGCTGTAAAAATCTGCTCAGAGTGACCATGTTTCAGTCTTTGCATGGATATAAATACCCATTATGTGAGACAGCAAAAACTCAGACCTAGGTATGGGTTATATACAAATACTCGGTAGACTCCCTTCCAGATGCAGGGAGTTTGCTCAGGGCAAAGGATCCTCAGCCCACTAAGCAGCTGCTCCACTTAATTGTTCCATACTTTTCTCAGCCAAAATATTTTTCCCTGTGTCAGAAAGTGCACCTTTAAGATTAACCAATGAAAATGATTTTTAAGATGCTTTATTTGACCTTGACAGAAAATCTCTCTTGGAAGACTTTGTGTCACAAAATGGAAGCTGTGGTTTAGGCTTGGTCATGCTGCTCCTAACTTTTCCCGTCATGAATGCGTTGTAGCTTGAACTGATCACACCAAGCAAACTGAAGCTGTTAGTTCATATAATTGTCAGTTCTGTGTCTGTGCAGTAAGTCAGTCAATGATTCTTCTGAAATGACTGCTGCTACATCGCATAGCTGCTCACATGGCCATTGGATGTGTATTGATGGGGCTGATGGGGCCACTGAGCCAAGCTCACATCTAGCAGTGTCACAGCTCTCCAGATACTGGCCATGAGAGTGGTTTGTTCTGCACAGTATCCTGAAAGCACAGGCACTATCAGAGTCCAATGTACTGGTTTGGGTGATAATAGCAACAAGGCTGAGGAGGCTATGTGAAACTTGAATGAAGACACTAAACAGCAGAACCAATGGTGTTGATGGTGGTGGTGCAGGATGCAGAGACTATCTTTACAGTAATTGAGATGCAGCATCACTTGGAATACCTTAAAGTGTGAATTCAGTAGTGATTATCATATTGAGCTTAACAATAATATTTTAATTAGAAAGAACTTTACATTGAACTTTGCTGGCC